AATGGAACAGAAATGACTGGGGGATAGGAAAAGGAGAGACGTAGACAAGATAAGTTTAAGGCAAGGAGGGAGAACTGGGAGAAGAGGCAAACAGAGAAAAGACTAAATCTGCTAGATCACCTGGTGGGGGAAAAAAGAAGAAGAAGAAAGCAAACATAAAGACAACAACACAAAAACCACAGCAACACTCTAGATAAGTATAAGTAACAGTAAATAATAAATATTGAGTGTTACTGAGCAGCACACAAGACCAACAATGCACGGCATGCTTTGAGGCACCTGCCAGGGAAGATTGTGTGTGTGTCTATGAACACCCGTGTGTACACCTGTGGTCACACCTGTGTGCCTGAGCGCACTTGTTTTCAAAAGGTTTTTCCATGTAACTATTTGATAGTGGGTGTGGGGAGCCATAGCCCTGCCCCCCAGGACATAAAGCAGGCCCACGGAGCCCACGGAGTACCACCGGAGGGACAGAAGCACCACCCTCCCGAAAAGAGCTGAGGAGCTCCCCAGACGGGGGTCACCCAGCAGCCACGATGCAGAAGCTACAGGGGGCTGCAGTGAAGTGCCCGCAGTCTCTGCCAGCAGCCAGTCACGCCAGAGCGGGCCGAGCCCCAGGCCCTGAGGTTCGAGGCCCCCCCATTTCCCAGAAGGGGCCTGACTGAGCCACAGGTGCCAGTTAAATATCAGTTAGATCACATAATTGTAATTATTTAGAAAGAGATAAAAGCTTAAAAAAAATTCAAAATAAACATGCAATCTGATTTATTTTCTCATCATGACTGCAGTTGGATGTATATCAATGATTAACAGTATCAGTGATTAAATATGCATCATTACTTTTTTTTGCAGTGACAGAAAAACTCCCACTTAGCATGTTATGGCCATGTTTTTTACCCTTTAAATGTCAGTTAGGTAATATATTACCAGTAACTTTTCAGAAAGAAGAGGGAATAAATTGAATATTTTTTTCAGTCATCAGTGCAGGTCAGTCCCAGTAACAGTAACAATGATTTTAACTTTTTTGCATTATTACTTCTATTGATGAATAGCCAAACAAAAAACAAAAAACCTTGTTCTCATTTTGTTGGCGAGGTGAGGTTAACCATCTAGTTCAGACTACTGTATGTTCGGATCAATGGCAGAAGCGGCTGAGCATCAGGAACAAGGCCGTCTTGCAATTGTTGAGATCATCAGCATGTGCCCCAGCTCTTCGAGGATCACTCTTCATTTGTAGGTTTTAGACAACTCCCACTCCTATGAAGTGGTTTCCAAGGGACAAATGCATTGTATTCCAAGACATCCAGGAGATAGTAGGGCAGAGGACTTCTTCCTATCCTTGCTCCCTGACCACATCATATGGTCAGGGAGCTTGAAGCAGTTATGACCTTCTTGCCATCTTGTCAGAAGAAAATTATCTGGAAGCTGTTGGGCTTACTTATAGCAGCAGCACTAACTGAACCTGCATAAACTGCAGGACAGATTTACAAACAATGTTTGTTGTTGTTTGCGCTGCAGCTGCAGCTGTGAACTCTGCAAAATGTCCTGTGACACACACACACACACACACACACATATATACATACACATAAATTTTTTGAAAGTTAATATTTTGGGTATGGTATTTTCTATGAAAAGTACAAGAATAAAAGTGCTTTGAAGCTAAGTTTGCCTGGGAAACTCAAAGCTCAATAGCCTGCATCTACAGAAACTCACTGCAGCCTATGTAATATTTGATGTGTTGTAATTTATTCCACTCTATCTTGCAGATACATATTTGTGCTGCAATGTCATGCACAAACACAAGCTATTACATCCTTAAGATCAAACCTCTGCCAACATAGCCTCATTCTTTTGGTCCATTGGAGTGCAGTAAGCCACCGTACGTCCTTATACAAAACTAAGAATATTACATGAAATTGCTTGTTTGGCCAAAAATGGGTAAATGATGTCAGGGCTCGCAAGATTTCAAAACCCCTGGTAGCCCTTCGGGTAGGGACTCTTCAGTTTTTGGTAGCCCAAAATAAATTTAAGTAGCCCGAAAAAAAAGAGCAATTTTTTGATTGATGTTTTGTAACAAACAAAACATTAATCAAAAAATTGTTGAAACACAAATTACAACATTGAATAAAAATTACAATCATCAACTCAAATACTTGGTTCTAATTGAACAGAAATTTCTATGAACTTGTAAGAACTGTGTAGGACATGAATCAGTCTGTGTCAGATCCTGAATTTGAAATTTCCACTGAAGTCACGGGTAAGAGACAAGTGGAACCAAGATCTAGGCCATTTGCTTTTTGAAGTTTGCAAAGACTGATAAATTTTGCCAGTGGTAGTTCACTCTTTGCAACATAGTACGCTGTTCTAAACAGATTTTTCAGGTTTATTTTTAGTATGTTATTTGCAATTGGTGTTTGTTCCGGGAAAGATATTGACTTGGCAATATCTGAGCAATTATGCATTTCTTGCATTTCTCATGGGTTCTAATGGGGGGCTTTCTTAAAATTACTGGTCCCAGTAACAAAGGCGCTTGTCGATTCAGAAATCGAGGGAAAACCAACAACACACCCGGCAGAACATTATGTTATTTACACGGGTGCACAAGTGGTCCGCATTTGCCCATTCGCTGTCAAAATAAAAGACGCGCACCAGATAAGAAGTTGCAACGCGCGTTTGCGTCCATATAAAAAGCACTGTTTTTGTCTGCTAGAGTGGGATTTTCACGGCACATTCCGCACCACATCTCTGTGCGTTCATCATTTGTTTGAAGCCAGCTCACCTCCTGCAACCACTTTTTCGAGAATACGTGCTTCTTTTGAGGTTCGGACTCCTTCTGACATTTCTTTGGAGGTGGAGGAACACCAAAGTAATTGCTTAAAGGAGCTTCTTCGACATCTTTAAGAGTTCTAAACAAATGTCTGTCCTCCTCCAGAAAATCTTATGTACGCAAACACGCGTTGCAACTTCATATCTTGTGTGCGTTTTTTATTTTGACAGCGAATGCACACCTGCGGACCACTTATGTGCACCCCTGGTTATTATTTAGCTCGTCATTTTGCAGCCACAGAAATTCTTTTGTCCATGAAACCATGAAGCTGCACTTTCTTTTTGCCTTATAGTCTGATTTGTCATAACTTTTCCGTTTTGTGGTAAGCTTTTCTTTGGCTGTCACTTCTTCACCCTGACCTGTCTTATTTGGCTCAGCAGAACTAAAATATATATCCTGCTGCTTTTACACACGCACTCACATAACGCTCAGCGATTCTCTGCGCGATCAACCTCTCACATGTTTAAGCTTGCTGCGGGAGATTTCACTTGTCATGTTTGCATAGTAAGCTAACGAATTGGTGCGCAAATTATCGTGACTCACCAATCAGTACTGTCGCTCTCTATACACAGTTCGTGCGATTGCAAAGTGAAAGCAAAAAACAAGCGCAAATTCAAACGCGACTTCAATATGTCACATATTGACAGTGGCTCACCGATGCCAATGACATAATTACCCAGCTACATTTCCGAAAGAATGCAAAAGCATTGACATGTATTTTTCCTTCCTATGATAGCCCGACGGGTAGGGCAGAGATAGATTTTGGTAGCCCGACTGGAAAAAAAAAAAAATTAATTAAAAAATTGGTTGGCGGGGTTGTTCCGGTTTTGTTAAAAAAACCACCACCAACCAACCAAAAAAAAAAAAAAAACAACGACAACAATACAATATTCATGTCTTAAGTTTAGAATGAAAGCAATTTTACCTAAACTGCATGATTTATTACTGTCAATAACAAGGAATTAAAAAATGTCATTATAATGGGTTTCAATTGGCCAAAATGTGGCCACGATAAAGCTATAAGGAATAATTGGATATATAGTGTATATTATTGATATATTCAAGGAGCTGAAGTTTAAAATTTCCATATGCATTAACACTGCAAAAATGATCAAAAAAGAAAAAGTGGTGGTCAGAAATGGCCAGCATAGAGCCCAGAGGGTTCAAAGGACAATGCGGCATCCAAATGTTGAAACCTTTCTGATAAGAACCTGCTTTTACTTCCAAAACTATTTAATGTTTATACAATGAAATATAATTTATTTAATTACATTTAAATGTAACTAATAATCCATTAACAATGTTAAGAATAAAAAACTGGAACACTAAATGAGGCATAACAACAATAACAAATTGCACACATAATACATAAAGTATAACCCCCCCCCCCAAAAAAAAAACCAAACTGCATTTCCATTTCAGTTTATAAATTCTAAAAGCTTATTTTATTCTCTTTCCTAAGAACACAAAGAAGTTCAGTCAAAAACAAATCATGATTGTCACAATAAATTTTTGACAAAGTAGATCCTCCCGTTAGAAAACATTCTTAATGGATTCTTAATGTTAAGAGCTTCATGTACTGCTTTCAGTATTTTCAGGGCCACAAGACTGACATTTGTTCAGTTTTATTAAATGGACAGACAGAACTAAGAAACATGTAACTCACAACTGAAGCAATTAAAATAAAGGTTCTTCATTCAGTTTAGTTTTATCTATTTATAGTGCGCTAAATCACAACAACAGTTGCCTCAAGACACTTTATACTATAAGGTAAAGACCCTAGAATAATACAAAGAAAAGAGAAAACCAAGTGCTTTGGCAACAGGGGGAAGGAAAAACTCCCTTTTAACAGGAAGAAACCTCCATCAGAACCAGGCTCAAGGAGGTCATGGTTATAAAATAATAAAATAAAAATAATTAAACCAAACAGATCAGTTAAGTGCCTTCATTTAAATTAATAAATAAATAATAAAAAATAAAGTGCATGTTTGCTGCAAAAACCATGAGTTTTTTAGCTAATAGTTTAACAGCTGGGATAGAGAAGCTAGGCTTTGAGTTTTAAATGTGCAGGATTCCATTATGTTAAGTCGATCTACAATCACAATGTGTAATGTGATAGTGATGAATGGAAGATGCAGAGGATGAGGATGCGACAGAGCTGGATAGAAACGTTGGTGTAGAGTTTATTAAGCTGATGAACTTTCATCTTGGCAACACTGTCGTTCCAGTAGAAGGTCACAATAATGCATCCCAGCAACTGCAAAAGACAGAAAACAGCGGTTATTATACCATTCCTCTTCTGATACATCCATCCATCCTCATCTGCTTTATCCGAGGCTGGGTCGCGGGGGCAGCAGCCTAAGCAAAGAGGCCCAGACCTCCCTCTCCCCAGCCACCTCCTCCAGCTTATCCGGGGGAATACCAAGACGTTCCCAGGCCAGCCGAGAGATAATCTCTCCAGCGTGTCCTGGGTCTGCCCCGGGGCCTCCTCCCGGTGGGACATGCCTGGAACACCTCATCCAGGAGGCGCCCAGGGGGCATCCTTGTCAGATGCCCGAACCACCTCAGCTGGCTCCTTTCGATGTGGAGCAGCAGCAGCTCTACTCTGAGCCCCTCCCGGATGGCCGAACTTCTCACCCTATCTCTAAGGGAGAGGCCAGCCACCCTTCGGAGGAAGCTCATTTCTGCCGCTTGTATCCGCGATCTCGTTCTTTCGGTCACTACCCACAGCTCGTGGCCATAGGTGAGGGTAGGGACGTAGATCGTAGACCGTTTTGCTAGCTTTCAAATCTAAAATCTAACTTTGATATATTTCCATATTTTTAAAGCTGTTTTGGTAAGAAGCGAGTTGTGTAACTCCATGTCTTTATAGTTTACTTTTGAAAAACTAAAAAAAGAAAATGAGTCATCAACTTTGAGACCAGACTGATAAGATGGGTTTCCTTTTAAAATACTGGAATTTATTTGATATAGCCATGCCAATCAGTTATCAAGCTGCTCAGGCTGTAAACATCCGGGTATGAAGTGTTTACTGTGACAACATTTCACATGGGACTGCACTTCTGTTTTATCAGCTTCTCTGTATGGCATGGGTGTGCTGCAAATGCATGACTGTGAATCAACATACTGTTGAGTACTTCACTGTTTAATCACTTCTTGTCTGCACAGCCAAGTCGATTGTATGGCAGCCAAATTATACACAGCGTGATCATGTTTTAAATCATCTTCCCGTAATGGGACTATGGTACAAGTGCAGCATTATGGTAAGTATTGATCCAAACAACATGCCTAATAAAACTGATGTACAAAGAATTAAGTCATGGATAAACAGCTGGATTGGACATTTCTAAGCACAAATGCAAACAGATGATTCGACAGTAAATTAAAAACAGCACACATAAAACTACATGAAGGACAGTAGGTAGTTGCCTGTCTTTAATTTTTAAAAAAAAAAGTGTACAGTGGCTGTATGATGTATGTACAGTGCATCACGTTTTGCATTCCCTGATCTTTGTCATTAAAAACAAACTCATCCCACAAAGTGTCCAAGTGACACTGTGTTTTGGCAAGAAACAGATTGAGTGACTGGGTGATGGCTGACGTAAGTCAACCTGTTAATCACCAATACGGGCTTCGTATGTTACGAGCGCTAGTAGGCTGTATGGGTCACCGCTGCTCTGTAAACATGCATGAGGTAAGGTTGGCTGTCAAAGTACAAGAGGTCACACTGATTTCAGAAATACGAAAATATAATATCTACAGATGATTTCATAGTTTTAAAATGCTGTAACTACATCATGCAAGTTTCACTCAAAACAGCGACATGATACAAGAAACCTGACAGCTTAATAAGAGAAACATGACAGATTTTGAGCAACCATAAACCAACATAACCATTGATTATGGCGTTCTAGTGGTCTACAATGGACCTAGTATCTAACACACTTCAAGACATCTCTCATTCTTGGGGAACCAGTGATTTATTTCACTGATGATACCATAAAGTTCACATTTACGGTTTTGTATGTGCACTGGGCAACATTTTTGTTTCTTTCAGACAAACGAAACAGGCAATTGCGGAGTGGCTTACAGCAGACAAACTATGCAACATAAGCACTAATGACATGGTAGAAGGGTGTTTTTTCCATTTGTGTTACTTTTCAATTTTTATACTTTGGCCATTATAAATGATGATGCAGACTGGCTAATACCTATTATCTGCTGATAAAAATATTCAATGGGACTCTAAATGTTACTGTAATTGTGAGCACACTGATGTGGACGTGATACTTAAAATAATCCCCAAGTACAGTTAAACCGAGACGCTAGGGTAGCCTGTGCTACATAAATGCACTTCAGATATGACGAACGTGATTTATATTAAGCTATTACCCTAATTTAGTTCGTCTGACATTCCCCGTTTCTAATGTGCGCCAGCTTCTACTCAAGTTCCCCAGAGCAACATACACGTGACGTGGCTCTAAAACCAGACTGTATTTGGTGTGTGCACAAAGTGTAAGCCAAAAAAAGATATACTCAGCAAACCCCTTAAATATAGTTTAAAGGGCTATGAGGCCACAGGCAATAATTCACTAAAGTGGTCTTTAACTTGTTGTGCAATCCTAATTACAAATGATGTGAGCCTTTTATTTAAAGTGCATGATGTCATCCAGCTTTTTGGAGCCTTGATCCTCTCTCAGCTGTTGGGCTCTTCTGTGGAAACAGCTGCACTGACACACAGTTTAAAGAGAGCCTGCAACAAAGCTAAATATTAATCATGAGTTAGGACTGGAGGACTCATGATTATTCATGTTGACAAGGCTTATGTGTACGTGTCCTTAAAAGAAGATGTAATCGTTTTACGTGAAAATACAAGTTACCAAAAAAAGAAACTCAGATTACATTTCATTTACAGATGTCGTAATGTTTTGTGATGATGTGCCACGTTAAATTACAGTATTAAGACAAAATGCTAAAAACTAAAACAGGACATCCTCACCATTTGATTGACTGAATATTAGTAATATTTGTTTGAAGTTCAAAGCTTCCTTTATTAAAATTTTACATCCTTTTACTTTATTCAAGTAAATTTTGTTAATAAACTAGTTCTAAATTTACATTTTCATAGATTAAGAAAGTGTAGGAAAACGTAAGCGGGTTTGGGACTCTAGTGAATAAGTATGATTGGGGGGCTTGTTAATAAAGGGGGTAAATTTAGTGATACACAGGAAGAAATCAGTTGTGTGAGACAAATTTTTTTCCAGACTTCACTGCCAGTAAGTAAGTTCGAGGAAGTATTGCATGACTTGTTCTAAGATCTTTTGAGAAGTCTGCTTTGGCGTCTCCACAGCAATGAGTACAGGGCAGTAGTGATGGAGACAAAACACATGAAAACAATGATGCTTTTTAAAGCCTTTCATAACTATAATCTGAACTTTTCTAAGCACCCTTTTCCTCTCTTTCAATTTATATTGAGTTACAGGAAGAGACACACCTCTTATAATAACAAGCCCTGACACAGCTAAGGCTTTGAGGCCACAGCTGCAGCATTCTCAGTTGCATTCAGTCAAATTTAACAGTGAAACAAGAGCAGAATATGTCAACCATTTTGCACTAGTTGCAGTTTTCTCTTCACAGGTTTCTCTAACTGACGCAAGCATTTAGGTACTTTCCTCTTCACCAAAAAAAAAAAAAAAACCAAAACAAAAAAAACCAAAAACAAACAGCTGATCCGGGCCGCTAACCAGCGATGTGCTCCACCCAAGCGTTTTGTGCAGAAACATCTTTAATAGTTCACTAGCCTCAAATAAAGAGAATCGTTTCATACTGTAACCATTAGCTTGTCAAGAGTGAGCATGAAGATTTGTTTGTTTTCTTCAAAAGTGCACCATTTTTTGTAATTTGCCAATTTTTCTTTTAAAGGTTGTAATGCTGAACAACCTTCTTGTGACAAGTTGTCTGCTCATGTTCACTGCAACACAAAATTAGCGGTAATGGAAGGTTTAGAACAGGGGTAGCCAACTCCAGGCCTCGAGTGCTGGTGTCCTGCAGATTTTAGATGTATCCTTGATCCAACACAGCTGATTTAAATAGCTAAATTACTTCCTCAACATGTCTTGAAGTTCTCCAGAGGGCTGGTAATGAACTAATCATTTGATTCAGGTGTGTTGACCCAGGGTGACATCTAAAACCTGCAGGATACCGGCCCTTGAGGCTTGGAGTTCCCCACCCCTGGTTTAGAAAGATATTAACTGGGTCCTGTTGGGTCTTTTTTGTATGAGTTAATGATGGATGAAGGTGTCATGCATGAGTGTTCACATGAGCTCCCTCCATAACCCCATGCGTCCACATTCAAATCAGGCAGTTACACAAATTCTCAGTTGGTGTGGGCCTCAGGCAGGGTTACCCTTGTCACCGGGTTTGATTTTACTTTTTTTATTTGACAAGAATCTCTGCTCAGCTGGAGCCATTATCGTGAACTAAGAGTTGCATCGGTTCTTTTTGCTGATGTTACTCTGTTAACTTCAGTGAACTGTGGCCTTCAGCAAAACTGCAACTGAGCACTTAAAGCACTTTTTACTACAAGCCACATACACTCACAATCTGATTGATACACTGGGGGAAATTTGGGGTTCAGTATCTTGCTCAACCTCCAAGCACACTTTGAGTCAGGGATTAACAAACTGATTAACCTTCAGATTTATAGACAGCTTTTAACATTTTTCAAGAGTCTAATCACTTTATCTACCCTAGAAAAGTAAAAGTACTTAATAGTGTAACAAACTACTTTCTTCGTGGATAAAATAAGTAATTGATGCCTTACATCTTTTCACCCATTTTGCTGTATGACCAAACCTGCCTTAAATGTTGATCAACAGGGAACATTATGAAATGAAAGGTTTCTCTCCTGGGCACAGTTAGACAACAAATAGCAAATAAGTAATTATGTGGCATGTCAGAGTGTTAAGTTACACCCACTGGTATAGGCTGAAGTCAAGACTGAAGATGCAGTTTCCCAAAAGCAGTTATTAAGAGTAGCACACAGCCACGTTAGCAGTGATGTAAATGTTGTCCCCAGCTAAGTTAGAGTGTAGGCGAACAACCCTCCTAGTCTGACACCTTTCATGTCAGTGTTCAGCTGTCAAATTAGGTTGAGATTGGTACACATCACCGACAGTTAGATTTTAATCTCAACAGGGTGGAGGCTGCCATTTAACGCAAAAGCTCGAAATTTCATCTTTCATCTAAAAAAAAGCA